TAATAAACAAAGCTCTACCTGGAGGGAAAGGGAAGTGAACCCCAATTATTGCAAAATAAGCTTTCAATAAGATTTAATTTGTGTATTTACACATCCAATTCAAAACCACGCAAACTACCCCCGGTATCTTTTCAAACACATGAGTTCTAAATTTACAGTTGCGATGTCTTGGTCCAGGCAGCTGGGTCTCTCCCCAGCTGCCTTTTGATGGTCCCGCACTGCCCCAGCCTGTCCCTCACTCCCTGATGCCTCCACTTCCATTTTTACTGACTGGCTTTCTTGCCTGCATTGCGTGCCAGCCCAGCCTCTGGCTTCTTTACTATTCCTTACATCCAGGACCAGGAGACACACCAACTGCAGATATTTCCTCAGCCTGACAAAGGGTTTTTCAACCCAAAAGCTTCCTAAGATGTATTTCTCTAACTATTCTGTTTTTTCATAATAAACATATAAACATAAGATAAGCCATCACACACCACAAGTAACATATATCCAACACAACATCTATACTTTTTGTCTCAATTCCTTTATAAAAAAAGGCTCTGTGACCGTTTGGCTAGGCTACCAGAGATGCTGCTGGTGCAACTGTGCTAGTGCTGCTCACTCACTAAGTTATTTTTACCTGCTGCCATTTGCAGTGGTGGATTGGGATGAGGCTGTAGGGGAGGAGGAAGCCTTACTGGGGCACACTGCTGTATTGTGTAGAGGCTCTAGCACCAGGAAGGGTGCACCTGAACACAAATACACACACACACCCGTGCGCGCGCACACAGAGTCGCACAGTGAGAGCGCACCTAACAGATGCGCACTAGGTGCTCCTACTTGAGAGGAAAAAAGGGCCTGATAGTTGAGTTTGGCTACCTGAGATGCTGGTGCTGGTGCTACTGGTGCTGAGTCACCTAGGTTATTTTACCTGCTGCCGTTTACAGTGGTGGACTGCACTGAAGCTGTAGGGGTGTAGGGGACCTCACTGGGGCACACTGCCATTTTGTGCAGAGGCCCCAGCACCAGGAAGGGCACACCTGAACACACACACACACACACACACACACACACACACACACAGTGAGGGTGCACCTAACAGACATGCACTAGGTGCTCCTACTTGAGAGGAAAGAAAGGCCTGACAGTTCATTTTGGCTACCTTAGATGCTGTTGGTGCTACTGATGCTGACTGCTGAGTCACTAAGGTATTTTTACCTGCTTTTGGCTACCTTAGATGCTGTTGGTGCTACTGATGCTGACTGCTGAGTCACTAAGGTATTTTTACCTGCTTCCGTTTACAGTGGTGGACCGGAATGAGGCTGTAGGGGAGGAGGAGACCTCACTGAGGCACACTGCTGTGTTGTGCAGAGGCCCCAGCACCAGGAAGGGTGCACCTGAACACACACAGTGTCACCCACCCATGTCACGAGTTTTGCCTGCCTGCAGCCAGAGCTGCAGGGCCCCAGAACCCACTGCAGCTATCTCCTTGACAGCTGGCAGGCTTCGTAGCTGCAGCAGGGCCTGGCAGGCCTGCAGTAGTTTTTTTCACCTCCCTGTGCCCTAAGACAGATGCATCTGGCAGGCTTCATGGCTGAAGCAGGGCCTAGCAGGTCTGCAGTTTTCAGTCCCCTGTGCCTCAAGACAGACACAGTTGCACAAGCATGCATGTCACAAGTTTTGCCTGTTAGCAGCCAGAGGTGCAGGGCCCCAGAACCCAGACTCCCCCTGGACCTATCTCCTTGACAGCTGGCAGGCTTCATAGCTGCAGCAGGGCTTAGCAGGTCTGCAGCTTTCACCCCCCACCCCCCATGCCGTAACACACACAATGTCACCTATGTCACAAATTTTGCTTGTCAGAAGTTTGAGGCACAGTTTCTCTGAACCCCCTGCACCTATCTCCTTGAAACTTGGCAGGATTTGTCGCCTCAGCAAGAACTACCATTCCTGCAGTTTTTACCCTGCTGTGGTGTAACATATACATGACATGAGCTTTGCTTTCACAACTTTGAGGTGCAGTTTCCCAGAAACCCCGGCACCTTTCACCTTGAATCTTGGCAGGCTTCATACCCTCAGCAGAAGCTACCACCCCTGTAAGTTTCATCCAAATCAGCCCAAAACCAACGAAGTTATAAATATTTAATTGAATCTCCATTATACTCTATGGCCGAATCTCCAAATCTCTCCGAATCAGCTCCGAATCTTCCGAAGCTGATTAAGCTGAATCGAATTGGAAAAGTGATCCAAATGTCCAAATTGAATCGCTGGCATCTGAATCGGCCAAATCTGAATTCAAATAGTATAGTTCCCTATTCACACAGGCCTACAAATTATATTCTAAAAAGAGAACATGAAAAATATTAATTTGATCTGTAAAAATGTTTTTGTCCTGGTTGACATGTATTTGTGTAATGCAGATAGGAGTGACTGTATATAATTAGTTAAAATGAAGTCTTACTCTTGTATATTGTGGGGGGGGTGGAGGGAATGGAG